AAATGGATCTCAAATTTTTTGTCGTGAACTAGACTATACCGGTTCTAAACAATGTCATGACTGGTTTAAATTTGTACAACTACAGTTTATATGAAATTTAATTAATAATTATGTAATACGGAGTATGAAAATTGATAAATTATGTGGATTTTTGGAGGATGGCTAAACTTTAACTTTCACTTAAACACTTAAAAAAGTGATTTTTTTGGTATTAGTATGATATGGATTTAGAACTGTACCGAATGGATTTAGGTCTAAGATCGAACCAAACCGTTTCAATAGTCACGGTACGGGTACGAGTTCGGCAAAATATTGGACTGGACCGGACCGTACCCACCCCTAATACGTAGATGAGATGATTTAACAAATAATCTTAAACAAGGGTATTTTAGTCAAAGAAATAGACATTTGACTAAAATGTTGATAGAAGGGAGAGATTACAACAGTAATCGTAGTTGAGGGGGTAAATAGTTGACTTTTAAAAATATAAGGTTGAACTAATAATTATAATCAAACTAGAAGGAGGTAATCATAATTTTCCCTTATATTTTAGCTTTCAAGTTTGTTTTTTTCATGACAACAATGTAAATTATGGCATGTGTACAAATTGCTACAATATTATTTTTTAAAACAAAGAAATTCTATTACATGGTCGTATAATGACATTGAGTTTTAAAAATGGCATATTTTACATTGTCATGTAAAGACATTGATTTTTATCAATGACACTGATTTTTAAATAATGACATTAATTTTTAAACAATCACATTACATTACATTGTCTTATAATGACATTGATTTTTAAAATGACATTACATTATCATATGATGCATGTCACAATGTAAAAAACGTCACAACGTTAAATTATAACAATGACAATATCACTATGGATAACATAAAATCACATTGCAATAATCACAATGTCAATGACTATTCTGACAATGTCAATGCCACTGTATGATGACAATACCATAAAAAAATTGACATTGTAATAACATTGTATTATGACAATATAATATACAATGTCATTATATATATGACAATCAAATGATGTCATTGTTTTAAAATCAATGCCATTGGTTGTAAGATCAGAAAGCTAAAAAAGGAAAAGTAAAAACTTTGGCAATTTTAAACATTGTTATAATATTATAAACATCGCTAATGTGTGTATAAAATGTCAAAATATCAAATAACTACAATGACATTATAAATCATGACATTGTAACCATGACATTGGGAATGAAAGTGAAATTATATAATTGTAACCAGTCACTTTCAAAGTGTAAATTATGTTCATATATTAAAAATGATATAAATGTTATAAAAAGGTCATTATATTAAAATCATGTATCAACATTTTCATTATTAGCATTCTAGCAATGTCATAATAACTAAAATAAATCAAAGAAATACGAAGCAGTAAAAATGAACTAACATAAAAATTAAACAAAGGAAATTAGAAGAAATAGACGAAGTGACAATGGACTACTACGCAGCGTCCTGCCGACTGTCAGCGACGTTGGAGGGAAAACGACCGAAGTCCGTAGCATCCTGCCGTTGACCGCGCAAACCGTAGGAGGGAGGACCGGAGTGCTGCGTTTCTGTCATCTGAAGCACTGCTCGTCGTACCTCCCCAGCCGCCGGAGGAAGAGTTCCTCTGCATGCAGTGTTGCCGGACAGTTTCCGTTGACGAAGGTTCTTCGCCTAATCGCCTTTGCCACTTTAGCCGCCGACTCGCGCAGCCGCCTTCACCATGACACCATCACAGTCGTTTACCAGTTTACCTCGTTGCCGTAGAAGTCCTTTTCCGAGCTTTTGTCTGGTTGGAAGGAAGGAGATCCTCCATTGGCCGCTAAGAACAAATTAAGATGGCAGGGGTAAAAATGGTAGGCCGGATAAAATCTAGTCCTATTTAGGGTTTAAAAAAGTTGGACTCTTGTTTAAATTAGGGCTGGGTCCGAAAAACCGAAAACCGAAAACCGAATCAAATTTAACCGAACCGCGACCAAATAAAACCGAACCGCTAAAAAACCGAATCCGAATGTAAAAAACCGAACCGAACCATAGTAGTTTGGTTCGGTTTTGGTTTTTACCCTTCAAAACCGAACCGAACCGAACAAACCGAACTAAAATAAAATATGAAATTTTATTTGTTAAATGTAAGCATTAATCTTGATATCGTCAATAATCTTTGAATTTCTTGTGCTAGAGAAATAATTCTTGTGCTATGTTTGGTTTAGTTTAGTTTATAAATGCATTTACACATTCATTGCCCATAATAATGTAGTTATATTGATCTATTATGTCTTCTATGTATGTATGTATGATTATATGTTTTTACTAGTTATTAGTAGTAATTAACTTTTATTTTTTATGTAATCTAATTTTTTTTGTAACTTACATTTTTTATATTGATCAAACAAATAAATCTTCATCTCAGCTATATCACACAGGATGTATGTATTCATAAACTTTTTTGCAAACTAGTCACAAATAATGTAAATGAAGATATATATACACTTTTATCTCCCCCGCATACTCATATAATTCAAGACATATTTGTTTATTATTATTTTCTTTATTTATTCAAGTATGCTTGCATTTTTATGCAATATGTTTGATCCGAAAATCAAATGACAATTTTTTAGTAAAAAACCGAAAAAACCGAAACCAAACCGAAATAAACCGAACCGAACAAACCGTGGTTCCAAGTTTTGGAGTCTAAAACCGAACCGAAACCAAACCGAACTTTTACTTTGGTTCCGTATTTGGTTTTAGGTCAAAACCGAACCGAAAGAACCGAACCCACCCCTAGTTTAAATACATAGAGTAAGTTTCAGTCCTATTAAGGACCATTTTTCTTCAATCTGATGAAATTGATGAAATTCGTGCTAAAACGGTAGAATCTGTTCAGTTATGGTATAATTATATTTAAAATGTATTTGTTTGCAATATAAATAAAAAATCATATGAAAATAGCTAAAATAGTCTTTGCAGTTACTTCAGCAAAAAAAATAACTTCAACTAGGAAAAATTGATAATAATAATCTCAACTATCGGCGGTCCGCTTATAATAATCTCAACTATTGATTATTCCAGAATAAACCCAACTTTAGGGACCTTCCGCCACTAATGGTCCCTATGAATAATTCTTGTAGTTTCTAAAGTGAATAAGAAGAGATATAGCAAGTAATGCCTATAAATAATCCCAATTTTTAATTTTTACGCTTAATTTCTATTTAAAATTCACTTTTTATAGGAGTTAAATTTGATCATGGACCATTATTGGTGGACGGTCCATGTAGTTGGGATTATACAAAAATAATCAATAGTTGAGATTATTTTCGGCGGACCGCCAATAGTTGAGATTATTATTTTCAATTTTTCCCTTCAACTATACTCATTTTGATACTTATATAAACAACTTTGAAATCAAAACTTACATACTCGTATTTGATTTAAAAGTTAATTGATAAAGACTCATAAATTAAATATAGATATCATTAAATAAGCTCAAAATTCACCAGAAAAGGTTTTATCTAATTTGTAGAATGTGACGTTAAGTGCATGTGCAACTACATTTTTTGAGTTGATGGAGATGTCGTACCAGCTGCCAACGTTGCTATTCAATCATGCATGCTTTCTTTGTCGGAATATGGGTGGTTTAAACTTTAAACTGTTTAAAGAATGCGTATCTACCCTCGTACACAACTCACTTTGACTATTTTTCTAGCCAAGTTCTTACATGTCATGTGCAAACGCGGTGCATACGCTTCAAATTTTCAATGTCACAAACAATTTTATCATTTTTAACACAAACTGCCTGTAACATCTAGAAAAATGTTTGTCAGACATAAAATTTTCCCAAAAAAGATGACATCCAATCCCTGAGGGCACCCCAACACCGACCGGACGGCATAATGGAAGGATGTAAATTGGACTATAATCTCAATTGACAGACAGAGAGTGGGACTTTGTCCCCGGTACTTGCAAAGGCCCTATGCATTTTTCAGTATAGTAACCCCTCATCGCAGTTGCCGGGATTTGAACCCGAGACCTAACCCTTGTGACACTCCCTTGCTACCAGTTGAGCTACGCCGACCGGTAAATTTTCCCAAATCTTATCAATGTCACTCACAGACAATTCGTCTTAAACAAAAAAAAAATGTACTCCCTCCGTCTCTATAAAACTCCTCATTTGACCAAATACACAATTGTTCGGTGTGTTTCGGAAAATAAAGAAAATTAATTAAAATAAATAAATTAATTAAATGACGAAAGAAAAACATAAATAAGATGGAGCAGAAATTAGTCAAAGAGCGTGCTACACACGATGTTCTTAAAACGTATTCGTCACCTCCCACGATGCTAGGAGCGTTGCAACGACCGTTTCCTAGGATACGATGACAACGAACTAATGTTTGAGCACACAAACAAGAGTTCTAGCGAACGAGAACAAGTATGAACACTCGGGAATTTTTTCAGAATGCTAGAGGTGTTTTTAGAGCTCAAAAGTATGTGAGTTCGTTCTGTGAATGTATATGTTGTAAACCACCTGCTAGCCAATTCATAGGAGAATTTGTTGTGTGTTAAGTCACCTTTAATGGACCTCAACGTTGGACATAAATGACCAGCACGTTGGACATTAATATGTCGTAAAAATGTCCATTTAAAGATAAGAACATTGGGCATTAACTGCTGTAACGGATCAGAACCGTTCTGGTGCGTGACCAGAACTGAACAGCAGACCTCGAGCCTGGGCGGAGTTCGGTTCTCCGGTTCTTGGTTCCAAAGTCCCGGCCCTAATTATTTGATTTGTTTATTAAATGATTTCATTCATAGTTGATTGTTTGAATTCTTAATTATTGATTGTTATCTATTGTGTCACGCCCCGGACCTACCGGACACGTCAACAACCCGCCGTACAGTACGAATAGTCAACCGCAGTCCAACTCATCCATACTATACTAGGCGTCTTGAATATCATTCACAATAGTACATCCATAAACAATCATAATATAAAATATTTAATTAAGCAGCGGAAACATTAATACAAGTATTCAAGCCACACGTGGCAAACACGGGCATACAAGCCCAAATAATTATTCATAAAATAATATTCATGAGCATTCATTTAAATATTTTTAAAATAGAAACGGAGGAAGCACGAACCACGTCTTCTCTCCTCGAGCTTCCCAAAGCAACAGGCGATGATAGTGAGCTTTATCCCCTACCTGAAACTGTGATGTGGCCTCCCTCGTGAAGGGGAGGTCAATACTTGGAAGCATTTGACAAGTACAATGACCACTATACTTTTTGAAATGAGTGTTGGGCCTGAAACAAGTAGCCCAAATGCTTAGTAAAAACTAGGATAGCAGCTGGGCCCAGTCAAATTGTGACCCCAAATCTGTGTTGCAGTAGAATGAAGAGAGATGGGCCCAGTCAAATTGTGACACCAAATCTGTGTTGCAGTAGAATGAAGAGAGATGGTCATCGACAGTGTCCGTCCAAATGTAAAATTGGCCTTATTGTAAACATTCCTTTTTTCAGCCCGAGGTCGTAGGAGAACGTTCAAGAGAAGACAATTATACTAAGTATAATCAATGTTTCAATTTCCAAGACCCTCAAATAGAGTGATATTATATTATAGGTCATAACCCTTGGTTACCCTCTTTGGAAATATACTTACTTTATATATAAAGTCAAGTAGCAGACCCGAAGGCCCATGTTTACTTTGAAAACATTCAACCCTTTTCCTGTGACTTCAAGCCACGCCCATCTATATTAGTTCACCATGCTAGAGGGTTCCTCTAGTCATGTTTTGTCATGCTAGAGGCTTACTCTAGTCACTCCACTAAGTGTTAGAGGCTTCCTCTAATCACCTTACATACGTTGTGCTGGAGGCTTCCTCCAGTCACATTACGTTATGCTAGAGGCTTCCTCTAGTCATCCTACACGAATGCTGGAGACTTCCTCCAGTCATTCTTCATCGTGCTACAGGCTTCCTCTAGTCACGATACTAGTTCGTCCTACACGAATGCTGGAGGCTTCCTCCAGTCATCCTTCATCGTGCTAGAGGCTTCCTCTAGTCACAATACTAGTTCACTAAGCAAGTTCTATGCCTAGAAATCCTCTACTATGAGTAGCCTTTGAGGCCTACTCCTACGGTAACTTAGCGTTTACCCATTTCTACCTTAAAACATCTCATAAGACTACTTAAGGTGTACCTCTTTCACAATCCAAGCCCTTAGAATTTGTTCTATCACTTTTCATACTAATGATAGCCGCCTTCGCGGCGTTGTAGTAAAACGGAGTCTAACCTTTCGGTTTTTCCCCGAGTGTCGTGTCTCTTGAGGAATGGCGGAGAAGTTTCTTAATTTAATTTTAGTCACGGGCTATCGCTAATTGTTGGAAGCTTTTTCAATATAGGAAAGTGATTTTGTTCTATATTACGCTAAATTATAACTAGGAGCAAGGTGCAATTTAAAGATTAATGTATAAATATTGAATATTCAAGGATGCAAATAAGGGCAATGAATTGAGTAATTAGAAATGGATATGTTCTTGGACCTCTTAATTAGGGAAATTAAAACTAAAATTGGACTAATAATTTCTTTCCTCATAGACAAGAATAGAAACTATCTTCATTAATTTATCCTATTTCTAGGTGTCATTAATGTGTTTAAAATGGTTGGCTTAAATTATTTTCTAAACCCATAGACAAGGTAGAAATAATTTTCCAATATTTTAATTAATAAAAATAGCCAAATTCATTAACTAGTTAAACTCTTTATTTTAGCAATTGAATTTATTTCTCATAGACAAGATGTAAATCCTTTTCATTAAATTATCCTATTTCTAGGCCTTATTAATGTGCTCAAATATGGTTGGCTTAAATTAATTTCTAATCTCATAGACAAGTTAGAATTAATTTTCCAAGAATTTAATTAATGAATATGGCTAACTATTATTAATTACTATTTCATCATTTCAAACAACTAGTCCAATTTATTAATTTTAACCCCTAATTTTAGGTCAACAAGTCAATCCATATTCCTTTTCTCAATTCATGCCCTAACAAATTTAGCTACTCATCACCATTTTTGCAATTAACAAAATAATGATTAAATTCAACATTAACAAGGAATTAAACATGTATGATAGCAAAAATTAAACAAAAATTATATTCTGGAACAATAAACTTGTAGGAACTAAAATATAACTTTCTGGAATTTTTCACCAATTTTTGAACCTAAAATCCAATTTTTGACAACTAATTGATAATTTTCCCAATTTTAACTAGAAAATGCAAAAAGCAACTAAAAATATGCTAACTTCGTTATAAATTTTATTCTAGCTACTGGGAGTGATATTACTATGAATCAAACTGAAATTAAGGCCGAACTAATTTTTTTCTATTTTTCTAGTATTTATTCTAAATTATGAACTAATCTCAAATAATTACCAAAATTAATTAAAAATTACTTATGCTTCGTGAAAAATTAATTTATTCAGATAAATAACTACCTTGAGGCTAGTAAACAACTATATAATTAATTGGAATGAATTCAACAACAATAACTATTTTATTTAATTTTTGGAAGTAAATGCGAAATACTTGAAAAATAATCTGGAAATTTTCGAAGAACAGATTGAACAAACAAAGTGCAGATTCAGATTCTACTCGTTGAGAAGATGAAAATACATATAAAGAACTTACAATTTGGAGCTAAAATGAAGAAGATATGAAGATTTGAAGTTTCTCTCTCTCTAAGACCTTTGGAGCTCGAAAATGGAGGAAGAAAGAAGGTGTTTTGAACTGATTTAGGGTTGGAAGAGGTGTGTTTGAGTTGAGGAAAAATCGGGCTATTTATAGGAGAAATTTCACCGAAGGCGCCCGGGCAGGCGGCCGCCTTCCGGCAGCAACTGGCCGCCTGCCGTCGAATCGCCGGCAACTTCGCGTGGGCTGGTCTCCGTCAGCCGTAGGCGGCCACAGAGGGCGGCCGCCTTCCACCAAAATTGGCCGCCTGCCGTCGTTTCACGGTCAAATCGGATCGCGGCGGATCCCGGCGGATCCCGGCCGCCGCAGGCGGTCCAGCAGGCGGCCGCCTGCCGTTCCTGTCTGGCCGCCTGCCGTCAAATCCCACCGGCCGGTGGTTGCTTCGTCGTCTTCTGCCGCAGGCGGTCACCGTAGGCGGCCGCCTTCCGTCCAGTGTCGGCGGCCTACGGTCTTTTCCGAATCCGGTCAAAGTCAAGGTTTGACTTTCCAAAAATACCGTAGGCGGCCGCGAAGGCCTTCATTGTGGCCGCCTGCACGGCCGCCTTTGAGATTATTTGTCCGGCTTGTTCCTTATTTTGTGCTCTTCAATATTGTCTTCTGGACCACCTTGAAATAATGTCTCCTTCTTTCGGTATGATATCATTTGTTGCTCGAATTGGCTCATTTTGTGCTCAATTGACCCGAAATTCCGACAAACATACGATGAATGTGGTTTTCACCTGATTTCATAAAATTTGAACCAAAATATCTAAAACATGCCTTTTCTTTCTATTTTCAATCAAAAATCGCTTAAATTTGATAAGAAAAATAAGTACAAAAATGGACTTATCAATCTCCTCACACTTAAGCGTTGCTTGTCCTCAAGCGACGAATTAGTTGGAAACACACTCAAAAAGGGAAAACCTGACTATATCACAATCGAATTGCTATTAAAGAAGTAGAAACAAAAACCTCTCTTTTATTCTCAATTTTTTTTATTTTAGAAAAATCACCCAAGATATATGAATTTACTATTATTATTACTGAAGAAAACTATTGATTATGTTAAACCACCGATCAATTCCTTATCCCAAGGTTTTCATTATTCTAATTTGGACATTCATCTTGTTCACCATTTTTTTTTTTTTTTTTTTTTTTTTTGCTCTTTTTCACTCTTGTTGGCGGTGTTATCCCATGGTAAATGCATATTTCATTCTCACAGACTGTGATTAACGAATGAAACAGAGCCCCTTTTCGGAGATGGAATTGTCCTATAACAATGAGTTTTGAAGAGGTTTATTAATAGTAACATTTTTTTTTTTTATGAAAAAAAATGAATGTCCAATTAAAACAAATTCAGACCTTTACATTCGCAACCAAAAACCCATAACAATTTTAAGTTTTCAAAAATAATAATAATAGTAAATTCTTATAATAAGGGTGATTTTCTAAACTATTTTGTGAATTGATAACAAATTGAGAAATTAATGTTTCATATCAAAAATAGTAAAAAGATTGTTCTAAAACAAGGTTTTGACTTTTGAGTGTAAAACGCAACCTCCTCACACTTGAGTTTTGAAAAGATTTTGTGAAGAGAAATAATGAAACAGGAGTAAAATGGTTTTTTAAAATCCTTACATCATCCATAGTCAGTTTGTAAGAGCATTCAAGTCAAAAGAGCAGCGCAATGTCCAACCTGAAGAACAAACAAACATGATAAAAATGTTAAGGAAGAAGCAAATCTAAACATCGCCTGCGCCATCCTGGGGGCCATAGTGTGGCCTAAGCCAATCTCTCATCTCATCAATATCTAGCCTCTGGGTCTCTAGCTCCGCCTGCATATCCTGGGTGGCTCTCTCCTGAGCTAATCGAAAGTCTCTGAACTCTCCCAGGGCCGTCTCATGCGCCTCTCGCATCTCCTGGAGTCCTCTGTCCTGTGCAACCCGCATCTCTGAAACTGAGGTCTGTAGACTCCTCATCCCATCCATCATCGCTCTCCAATCTGTGGCGCTAGGCATGTATGAAAAGGGCTCGCTAGATCCCTCATGTCCTGAGGGTCGAGAAGAACTACTCTGCTGGGTCGGCTGCTCAATACCTGGGAGCTCCTGAGTATTCCGCTTCTTCTTGATCCTCATGTTGGTAAAGGATGAGGATCGAAGAACGCGAATGCTCTCCTGTAAATGTGATAGCCCTGGAATGTCTAGATCTGGGTAGAAGGATCTAACGAGGGTAGTGATGAAAGGCCCTGCCTGGATAGTGCGCCGCACAGTCTTCCCCTGGCTCCGGAAGAAACGAGCCATAAGGACAGCCATATTCACCGGGATGCGGTGAATCAAACTCCAAAAGAATAGTATGTCCTTTTTGGACAACCTGTTTGTGTTGTTAGGTCGTCCAAAAAAACCACAAGAAAGTACGAACGAGAGTATGTACCAGTGAGTCTCCCTCCATTTGTTCGAATGGGGGTGCATCCGGAGAAATGATCTGGTGTCTGTGGAGTGTCTGTGCCAGAACTCATCAATGTCAAATGCCTCGGGTAAGCGGGTCGGAAGAGCACGGAACTCCTCAGTCTGTGTGTATGCTGGGGTATAGAGCCCCATCCTCCATCCGAGCTCAGCCACAGTGATGGAGTGCTCCATGCCTAGAATAGTAAACCTCATCCGAGACTCTGACCCAATAACAGCACCCTCCTGCACAGCCTGTCCGTAATGAGTGAACTGAACGGAGCACAGAAACTCCATCGTCAATGGAAGGCTGGCCCTCTCCTGAACGAATAGAATCCTCCGCCATAAAGAGTCTCCTAGCAGGGCATCAATGTCATCCCAGTACCCCCATTCCTCTAGCATCGTCGGGTCCAGGATCATGGGAGGAAGGAGTGTGCGGTATTGCCCCCATGCCTGGAAGCGTCTGCGATCAGCAATAGTAGCAAATGGGATATCAGGCTGAGGTGGCGGGTCTTCCCGTCCTAGTGGTGGCTCCTCGAAAATGGGATCGTCACGTCTTCCTCCAGACATCTGCAAGAAATAAACAAAGTAAAATATTTTTGGGTTAGTTTTTTTTTTTTTTTTTTTTTTTTTTTTTTTTTGGTTGGGTTGCCTCCCAATGAGCGCTTCTTTAACGTCACTAGCTTGACGAATGTCCTCCTTCGGTTCAAAATTTTTGGAGATAGAGAATCTCCTTGCTTTTTTCAATCGGGCCGCCATGGTAGAGTTTAAGTTGGTGGCCGTTGACTTTAAAGGGAGCCCCATTAGCATCTTCAATCTCAACAGTTCCGTAGGGGTAAGCTTTTATGACCTTGAATGGTCCGGACCATCTTGATTTAAGCTTTCCAGGAAAAAGCTTCAACCGGGAGTTGAACAACAGCACTTTATCTCCAGCATTGAAATCACGAGCTTTGATGTGTTGATCATGGTAGAGTTTGGCTCGTTCCTTGTAAAGTTTGGAATTATGAAAAGCTTGCGCTCTCCATTCTTCCAGTTCGTTCAGCTGGTAAAATCGTTCCTTCCCTGCAGCATCCAGTTTAAAACAGACATTTTTCATCGCCCAAAGTGCTTTATGCTCGAGTTCGACGGGTAAGTGGCAAGACTTCCCGTATACAAGGCGAAAAGGTGTGGTTCCGATCGGGGTTTTGTATGCAGTCCGAAATGCCCAAAGAGCGTCGTCAAGTTTAGTTGACCAGTCTTTCCTGGTCTGGGCAACAGTTTTCTCCAGAATGGACTTCAAATCCCTGTTAGCGTTTTCCACTTGTCCCTGAGTTTGGGGGTGGTACGCTACTCCGCTTCGATGTTGGACTCCATATTTGGCCAAAATTCTGGCCATTGGATCATTGTGGAAATGAGTCCCTCTATCGCTGATCAAAACCCTAGGCACACCAAATCTGGTAAAGAGCTTTTTCAGAAAATTCACGACTACTCGAGAGTCGTTGGTGACACAGGCCTGGGCTTCAACCCATTTAGAAACATAATCAATGGCCACAAGAATGTATTTGTTTCCTCTTGAGCTTGGGAAAGGTCCAACAAAGTCGATACCCCAAACATCAAATACCTCACAAGGTAAGATAAAGTGTTGGGGCATCTCATTGCGCCCAGAAATGTTCCCGATTCGTTGACAGTTATCACAAGAGGAAACAAATTCATTAGCATCTTTAAAAATCGTGGGCCAGAAGTACCCACAGTCCAAAACCCGCCTTGCGGTTCTATTCCCTGAAAAGTGGCCCCCAGTAGGACCGCTGTGACAATGCTCTAGAATGTCCCTTGCCTCAGCTTCAGTAACACATCTTCTCACCACCTGGTCAGCACAAATTCGGAATAGATATGGATCATCCCAAAAATAGTGCTTTGCTTCTGATAGGAACCGCCTTTTCATGTGCCTTGTCAGTTCGGTAGGCTCGACTTTACCAACAAGGTAGTTGGCAATGTCGGCATACCACGGTGTTTGCTCCTTGGCGGAAATCGCCATCAATCTCTCAGCAGGAAAAAGCTCCTCAATTTCGCATTTTCCGAAAGTTTCTGCTAACTCGGCATCTAACCTCGAGAGGTGATCAGCTGCCTGATTAGCAGACCCTTTTCGGTCCCTGATTTCAATATCAAATTCCTGCAACAAAAGAACCCAGCGTAACAGTCTAGGCTTAGCATCATGCTTTTGGAGGAGATATCTAATGGCCGAATGGTCGGTATAGATAATAACCTTCGAAAGAATGATGTAAGTCCTAAACTTCTCTAAAGCACAAACAATAGCAAGGAATTCTTTTTCGGTGGTAGTGTAGTTGAGTTGTGGCCCTGATAGAGTTTTGCTAGCGTAGTAGATTGGGTGGAAGTTCTTGTCCTTCCTTTGACCAAGAATGGCCCCCACTACTAAGTCACTAGCGTCACACATGAGTTCAAAGGGTAAACTCCAATCTGGGGCCACAAGCACCGGTGCATTGATCAGTTGTGTTTTAAGTGCTTGGAAAGCATGGTGACATTCATCAGAGAATATAAAAACCGCATCTTTTTCAAGTAATCGGGTGAGAGGTTTTGCGATTTTAGAGAAATCCTTTATAAAACGACGATAAAAGCCCGCGTGTCCTAAGAAGCTGCGGATGGCTTTTACCGTGGTTGGTGGAGGAAGTTTCTCTATTGTCTCAATTTTTGCACGGTCCACCTCTACCCCGTTACTTGACACTTTATGTCCAAGTACTATACCCTCTTTCACAAGGAAGTGACATTTCTCCCAACTTAGGGCTAAATGGGTTTCCTTGCAGCGGATAAGTACTTTTTCCAGGTTTTCAAGGCATTTTTCAAATGTTTCCCCAAAAATAGAGAAGTCATCCATGAATACCTCCATGAAGTGGCCAATGTATTTTTCAAAAATGGCAATCATGCACCTCATGAAGGTGGCAGGGGCATTACAGAGACCAAAAGACATCCTACGAAAAGCAAAGGTCCCAAAAGGGCATGTAAACGTAGTTTTGTCTTGGTCTTCCGGGTTGACATGGATTTGGAAGTATCCACTCATGCCATCCAGGAAACAGTAGTGACTATGGCCTGCCAACCTCTCTATCAATTGATCGATGAAGGGAAGGGGAAAATGGTCTTTCCGGGTGGCTTCGTTCAGTTTGCGGTAATCGATTACCATTCGCCACCCGGTAACAGTTCGACTGGGTAGAAGTTCGCCCTTTTCATTTTTCATGACGGTCATTCCCCCCTTTTTGGGGACAACGTGAATAGGGCTTACCCACTGGCTATCAGAGATGGGGTAAATGATACCCGCATCCAGCAGTTTGACAATCTCGGCACGCACTACTTCCATCATGTTTGGGTTTAAACGTCGTTGTGGTTGGACAACTGGTTTAAACCCTTCCTCAATCTTGATGGTGTGGGTACAAAAGGCGGGGCTTATTCCATTGATGTCCTCAAGTTTCCAAGCAATTGCTTGCTTGTGTGTCTTAAGGACTCCAAGTAATTTCTCCCTTTGTTCCTCACTTAAGTGTGCGGCGATGACGACAGGGCATTTGCCTTCGTCATCCAAGAATGCATATTCTAAGTGGTCGGGCAGTTTCTTTAGTTCGAGGGGGTGGTCGTTTTTCAAGTTTTGTTCATTTTTCTCCCCCTCAAACTCAATCAATACTTCGTTAGAAGCTTGATCAATCAGCGCATCCTCACAACTCTCACATGCATCACTCACATCACTGTTGGCTTCTTTTAACAGACATGCTTCATCAGTTACATGTCCATTTTCTTCCCCAAACAGATACCCTTCAATAGACTCAAAGGTATCAAGAAAATGACATCCTTGAAAGGAATCTGTGGGGTGTTTCATAACATCTGAGAGTCGGAAGGTGCATAGATCATCTCCGACTCTTAGAGTTAATGAGCCATCAGTGACATCAATCAAGGCCCTGGCGGTAGCCAGAAAGGGCCTTCCCAGAATAAGAGGTGTTTCCCTATCCTCTTCCATGTCCATTACTACAAAGTCGACTGGGAAAATGAACTTGTCAACCTTGACCAAGACGTCTTCAACAATTCCTTTCGGATATTTGACTGAGCGATCAGCCAGTTGAAGACACATCCTGGTGGGTTTCATTTCCCCAAGTCCTAGCTTCTCGACTATAGAGGAAGGCATCAGATTGATACTTGCCCCTAAGTCAGCTAGAGCATTATTGAAGTTGAAATTGTCTATAGAGCAAGGGATAGTGAAACTACCTGGATCCTTTAGCTTTTCGGGTATTGACCTCAGAACCACGGCCGAGCATTCTGCGTTCAAGTCCACGACTGAGAGCTCCTGCAGCTGCCTTTTGTTTGTCAGCAAGTCTTTGAAAAACTTGGCATATTTGGGCATCTCCGCTAAGGCATCCATCAGCGGCAGGTTGACGTGGAGTTGTTTGAGTAGGTCCAGGAATTTGTTGTACTTCCTGCTATCGTCATCATTTCTAACCCGTGAAGGAAACGGGAGAGAAGGTTTGACGATAGTGACCCTTGTGTTAGGGCGTGTTGGTTCCATGCTCTTCTCAGTTGGAGCATCAGTTTGTTTCTCAGGTTCCATGGTCGGGGTACCTTCCTCTTCCTTGTCTTTCTGCTCAGCCACGGTTGTTTGTCTCCCGCTTCGAAGAGTGATGGCTTGCACATGTTCACGGGGGTTTGGTTCCGTGGTGCTAGGCAAGTTGCCTGGCTGACGACCAGGAACATTGTTCTGATTAATTTGCATCATCAGATTTTTGATCTGATTGTCAGTGCTGGCCTTGTATCTTGTTATTTCCTCCCGTGTCCTTGCCAGTTCTGCTACCAACAAGCCTATCTCTGATGGCTGGGCAGCCTCCGTTTGTCGTTGGTGTGGAGGCACATAAGCTTGGTTGTTCTGTTGGGCTGGTGCACCTCCCTGGTTCCGACTCTGGAAGTTGTTCCCTTGATTATTGTTGGGGTAGTTTTGATTACCTTGATAACCGCCGCGAGGAGGACCATTGTTGTAATCCCCCCGCCATTGGTTACCTTGGTAATTCCTTCCTTGGAAATTCTGAGGAGGGTAGTTGGAGTTACCCCCCCGGTTGCCTTGATTCGCCCATGGCCCTTCTTGTTTTGTTCGGCCATACTCCAGCAGGTTCACCTCCCTGTTGTTGCTTAGATTACATTCATCAACTAATTGACATGAATTGGTCAAATGTGGACCAAAACATATCTCACAAGAGAGTACAAGTTCAGTTGAATGGGAAACAGGTGAAAAAGTATTAAATTGAGATGACTGTGGGACAGAGCTTGAGTTCCCGAAGTATCGGGATGATTGTTGATTCGGGACAGCACCGATGTTGTTGACTTGGTTGGTGTGATTGTTATCATTCTTCAAATTCTTCACTTCCACGACCAATCCTTCAATCTTCGCTGTTAGGGCCGTGAGTTGGTCAACTTCAAGATAGCCTGGTTTTGTTGCTGCTGGAGTTCTTTCATCATACCAGTATCTTGCATTTGAAGTGACCTTCTCCACCAGAGCTTCGTTGGTGTTGGGTGCCATGTCAAGGAATGATCCCACCTGAGAAGAGAAATCAAGTTCTTTTTTGCTACTAACTTGAAGTCCATTGTAAAAATGGAACATCAAGCTACTAGAATCCATCAGTGTGAGTGGACATTTGTTTCTCATATCCTTGAAACGATCCCATGCTTCACTTAAGGACTCCATCGGGAATTGTCTAAAATTTTGAATTGCTGTTTTAATTTTAGCAACTGCCGATGGAGGAAAGTATTCTTGCATGAATGCTTGGTGCAGTGCCGCCCATGTTGTGAAGTGACCCGTTGGAAAGCTATTCAGCCACAAAGATGCCCTATCCCGTAATGAGAAGGGAAATAGGGTCAACTTTGCGGCGTCGGAGGTCACTCCGTTAAAGCGGAACGTTTGGCATGCTCGGGTGAACCACAACATGTGGGCCCTAGGGTCATCTTGCTTGGACCCGCCAAATTGATGATTGGACATCATGTTGACAATGGCGGGTTTGATTTCGAAATTGGCTGCCTCGATTGCCGGTGCGCTGATACTATCATCCTCGATGAAGTTCGGCGTAAGATTTTGCAACACCGTCTTTTCTCCCGCCATGCTTGGGTTCTTGTGGATTGAAAGATTTTTCCACAAAGTTCGCTCAGGTTCAGGATCAAGTTCAATTAGACCTTCCACTCCTTTAGAGCGGGTGTGCATTCATTTATCCTGAAATCTTTATACAAATTGTCGCAAGGGCGAAAAAGTCTCCCTAACTAGAATTCACCTATGCTAGAATTAAATCAAGAAATAATCGTGCCATTCCCCGGCAACGGCGCCATTTGATAGCCGCCTTCGCGGCGTTGTAGTAAAACGGAGTCTAACCTTTCGGTTTTTCCCCGAGTGTCGTGTCTCTTGAGGAATGGCGGAGAAGTTTCTTAATTTAATTTTAGTCACGGGCTATCGCTAATTGTTGGAAGCTTTTTCAATATAGGAAAGTGATTTTGTTCTATATTACGCTAAATTATAACTAGGAGCAAGGTGCAATTTAAAGATTAATGTATAAATATTGAATATTCAAGGATGCAAATAAGGGCAATGAATTGAGTAATTAGAAATGGATATGTTCTTGGACCTCTTAATTAGGGAAATTAAAACTAAAATTGGACTAATAATTTCTTTCCTCATAGACAAGAATAGAAACTATCTTCATTAATTTATCCTATTTCTAGGTGTCATTAATGTGTTTAAAATGGTTGGCTTAAATTATTTTCTAAACCCATAGACAAGGTAGAAATAATTTTCCAATATTTTAATTAATAAAAATAGCCAAATTCATTAACTAGTTAAACTCTTTATTTTAGCAATTGAATTTATTTCTCATAGACAAGATGTAAATCCTTTTCATTAAATTATCCTATTTCTAGGCCTTATTAATGTGCTCAAATATGGTTGGCTTAAATTAATTTCTAATCTCATAGACAAGTTAGAATTAATTTTCCAAGAATTTAATTAATGAATATGGCTAACTATTATTAATTACTATTTCATCATTTCAAACAACTAGTCCAATTTATTAATTTTAACCCCTAATTTTAGGTCAACAAGTCAATCCATATTCCTTTTCTCAATTCATGCCCTAACAAATTTAGCTACTCATCACCATTTTTTGCAATTAACAAAATAATGATTAAATTCAACATTAACAAGGAATTAAACATGTATGATAGCAAAAATTAAACAAAAATTATATTCTGGAACAATAAACTTGTGGGAACTAAAATATAACTTTCTGGAATTTTTCACCAATTTTTGAACCTAAAATCCAATTTTTGACAACTAATTGATAATTTTCCCAATTTTAACTAGAAAATGCAAAAAGCAACTAAAAATATGCTAACTTCGTTATAAATTTTATTCTAGCTACTGGGAGTGATATTACTATGAATCAAACTGAAATTAAGGCCGAACTAATTTTTTTCTATTTTTCTAGTATTTATTCTAAATTATGAACTAATCTCAAATAATTACCAAAATTAATTAAAAATTACTTATGCTTCGTGAAAAATTAATTTATTCAGATAAATAACTACCTTGAGGCTAGTAAACAACTATATAATTAATTGGAATGAATTCAACAACAATAACTATTTTATTTAATTTTTGGAAGTAAATGCGAAATACTTGAAAAATAATCTGGAAATTTTCGAAGAACAGATTGAACAAACAAAGTGCAGATTCAGATTCTACTCGTTGAGAAGATGAAAATACATATAAAGAACTTACAATTTGGAGCTAAAATGAAGAAGATATGAAGATTTGAAGTTTCTCTCTCTCTAAGACCTTTGGAGCTCGAAAATGGAGGAAGAAAGAAGGTGTTTTGAACTGATTTAGGGTTGGAAGAGGTGTGTTTGAGTTGAGGAAAAATCGGGCTATTTATAGGAGAAATTTCACCGAAGGCGCCCGGGCAGGCGGCCGCCTTCCGGCAGCAACTGGCCGCCTGCCGTCGAATCGCCGGCAACTTCGCGTGGGCTGGTCTCCGTCAGCCGTAGGCGGCCACAGAGGGCGGCCGCCTTCCACCAAAATTGGCCGCCTGCCGTCGTTTCACGGTCAAATCGGATCGCAGCGGATCCCGGCGGATCCCGGCCGCCGCAGGCGGTCCAGCAGGCGGCCGCCTGCCGTTCCTGTCTGGCCGCCTGCCGTCAAATCCCACCGGCCGGTGGTTGCTTCGTCGTCTTCTGCCGCAGGCGGTCACCGTAGGCGGCCGCCTTCCGTCCAGTGTCGGCGGCCTACGGTCTTTTCCGAATCCGGTCAAAGTCAAGGTTTGACTTTCCAAAAATACCGTAGGCGGCCGCGAAGGCCTTCATTGTGGCCGCCTGCACGGCCGCCTTTGAGATTATTTGTCCGGCTTGTTCCTTATTTTGTGCTCTTCAATATTGTCTTCTGGACCACCTTGAAATAATGTCTCCTTCTTTCGGTATGATATCATTTGTTGCTCGAATTGGCTCATTTTGTGCTCAATTGACCCGAAATTCCGACAAACATACGATGAATGTGGTTTTCACCTGATTTCATAAAATTTGAACCAAAATATCTAAAACATGCCTTTTCTTTCTATTTTCAATCAAAAATCGCTTAAATTTGATAAGAAAAATAAGTACAAAAATGGACTTATCAACTAACATTTCCGACTAGTAAAATCAATACTAATCCATTAGTCTTTAAGCCACCAAGCTCTTTAATTCATAGTTATAAGGTTCATTCCTATGAATTTCCCAATCTATATATGATTTAATCTCAATATCCAAAATATCACTTTTATCCCTTCATGATTTCTATACATGAAGTAAAAGTATATTTCATCACAAAAATTCATGGTTTATACAATCACCATAACATCATTCTTATAATGCATAACTATACACCATTTACTCATAAATTTGTATATTATGCATCTTCTATTCATAAACAATAATATTTTCATTTAGGCATTATTAATCATTAATAACCCATGAAAATCACATTTAATTAACTTAGGTAATCTTATGAAATTAACCCAAGGATTATAAACAATATAGTCAGTCATCCTCACCTTATGATGTGCTCAACTAGCTGCCTTAGCGAACACCTCGATCCGTCCTTGTTCTAGGCCGCTCGAGGGTGAAAAATCTGGACAGAAGGTGAAAGCCGGGCGATGTTCGTGGTCTGCTACCGCGAACAGTCTCCTTCCTTTGGCGGTTTCCGGCGATTTCAATTCCTATCGATTCCACGACTCTTCTAAGTTAAATACCACCACTTTATAACATTATTCTACACTTTTAAACGTGTAGAACTCCATGTTTAATCCACCATATGATTTCTTAAAAATCATACAATAATAATACTAGTTAATTCATACTAGTTGGACTCTTACCTCAACTTAGCTCTTAGCTTCCCTCTTGGGTTCCTTCTCCCTTGTGCTTCTTCAAGCTATGGTTTCTTGAGAGAAGACTTCTCTGGAGCTCCTCCTCTTGGTTGGACGAGAATAGGTGTGAAGGATAGGGGGGAAGGTACCTCTACTCAATCAAGCATCCAAATAATGCATGAGTAGAGACCTATGAATATATTTTATGTCTTGTGCATACTCCTCAACATCTATTTCGCCCACCCCATGTTTACTTGTCTCAAAATGATTATTTTGAGTTTACAAAACTTGTAGGAAAAATCCCAGTTGGGTACAGAAAGTCCCTCCCAATTATTTCTGGTATTTTTAGCAGGTTGGGTCAAAATAGCACTCGGGTTGTCCAAACATTTTTATCAACCTTAGTTGACACTTTATTGGGATTCTATAATTATTATGATAACCCAACTAAATATTTGGTAGCCCATTCTCATTATTATGGGTTCGATAAATAATTTAATTAATCGCACAATAATTAAATACGCCGATCAATTACACGAATTTTATTCGTTGGGAAATTCAAATACATATCAAATTCCAAATTCAAGTACATCCGGGTGCGGTGTCACAAGTTCACCCCCCCTTAACGGGAATTTCGTCCCCGAAATTCACAACTGCTCATTCAAAAATAAATGCATATTGTTCCTTCATCAAGGCTTCTGTCTCCCAAGTTTCTTCTTCAACTCGGTCACTTTTACAAAGGATTTTAACTATTGGAACTTTCTTGCTTTTCAGCTTCTTTACTTGCCTATCAAGTATCCTTACCGGTCGTATGGCATAGTTCAAATCCTAACGTATTTCCACGGGTGGTTTCTCTAACACGTGAGACGGATCCGGTACATATTTCTTTAGCATAGACACGTGGAACACGTTATGTATCTTCTCCAATTCTGGAGTCAACTGCAATCTGTATGCTACAGCTCCAATTCTTTCAAGAATCACGAATGGCCCTATGTAGCGTGGGTTAAGTTTCCCTCGGCTTTGAAATCAGATGATTCCTTTCCAAGGTGAAACTTTCAAGAATACCTCATCTCCCACCTTAAATTCCAAGGCTCTTCGGCGCTTATCGGCATAGCTCTTCTGTCTATCCTGGGCCGCCTTAAGTCTCTCTCGAATCATCTTCACTTTTGACTTGGTGATCTCTACCAATTCCGTGCTCTCAAGCTTGGCCATGCCAACCTCATCCCAGCACAACAACGTACGACACCTCCTCCCATACAATGCTTCGTATGGAGGCATGCCAATACTCGCCTGATAACTGTTGTTATAGGAAAACTCAACAAGTTCTAAATGGTTGTCCCAACTTCCCTGAAACTCCAATGCACAAGCTCTCAACATATCCTCTAATATCTGTATGACTCTCTCAGATTGTCCATCTGTCTGTGGGTGAAAAACAGTGCTAAACTTTAATCTCGTTCCCATAGACTCTTGGAACTTCGGCCAAAATCGTGATGTGAATCGTGGATCCCTGTCGGATACAATGGTTATAGGAACCCCATGTAGCCTCACGATCTCATCCACATATAATTTGGCTAACCTCTCAAGTGCATAGGTGGTGTTGATAGGTAGAAAATGTGCACTCTTCGTGAGCCTATCAACCACAACCCATACGACATCATAATTCTTCACTGTCCGTGGTAATCCTACCACAAAATCCATAGTTATGTGCTCCCATTTCCACTCTGGAATGGAAAGTGGCTGCAATAACCCAGCTGGATGCTGATGTTCTGCCTTGACTTGCTGACAAGTAAGGCATCGACTAATGTACTCGGCTATTTCCCTCTTCATACCAGACCACTAGTAACTCTCCTTCAAGTCACGGTACATCTTCGTGCCCCCCGAGTGCATGTCATAAGCCGATGAATGAGCTTCCTCTAAGATGGACTTTCGGAGCTCCTCATCCGACGGTACACACACTCGGTCACGAAATAATAAGAGACCGTCGTCTCTTTCCCTGAAATCCTCCACCGGTCCCGCTTGCATGCGTTCCCGGACCTTCACAAGTTCTTCGTCAGTTTCTTGACCCTTCCTAATCTCATCAAGTAAAGTAGGTCTCACCTCGAATCGTGCCAATAAGGCACCATCGCCAGATACCTCCAGTTAGGCTCTTAATGCCCTCAAATTAGCTAGCAATGCCCCAGACGAGCTCTTCCGGCTCAAAGCATCTGCCACCACATTTGCCTTACCTGGGTGATACTCAATCACAAGATGGTAGTCTTTTATCAACTCCATCCACCGTCTCTGCCTCATGTTTAACTCTTTCTGAGTAAACACATATTTCAAGCTCTTATGATCAGTGTATATATGACATGTCTCCCCGTAGAGATAATGTCTCCATATCTTAAGTGCAAACACCACTGCCCCGAGTTTCTAAATCATGAGTAGGATAATTTACCTCATGCTTCTTCAATTGTCGTGAAGCATATGCAATCACCCTCCCATTCTGCATCAACACACATCCAAGCCCTTGGATGCTCGCATCGCTGTAGATATCGTACCCCATACCTTGTTTGGGTAATGCAAGTACTGGTGCCTCGGTCAATCTCTTCTTTAGTTCAAGGAACCCCTTCTCGCATTGGTCATCCCATACAAACTTAGCCCCTTTCCGAGTGAGCTTCGTCAATGGCGACGCCAAAACTGAGAACTTCTCCACGAACTTTCTATAGTAGCCTGCCAATCCAAGGAAACTACGGATGTCCTTGACGTTCTTTGGCCTCTCCCATTCGGTAATGGCTTCTATCTTCTTGTTATCAACAACAATTCCTGATCCCGAAACTACATGCCCAAGAAAGACAATCTCCTTTAGCCAAAATTCACATTTAGAAAATTTGACATAGAGTTGCTTCTCCCGTAGTGTCTCAAGAACAAGTACCAAGTGCTCCGCATGCTCTTCTTCACTCTTTGAGTAAATCAAGATGTCATCTATGAACACAATCACGAAATGGTCCAAGTATTTATGAAATACTCGGTTCATCAAGTCCATGAATGCCGCCGGGGCGTTTGTTAACCCAAACGACATAACAAGGAATTCAAAATGCCCATACCTTGTGCGAAAAGCACTTTTTGGCATGTCATCTTCCTTAATCTTCAATTGATGGTAACCCGACCCCAAGTCAATCTTCGAAAACACGGTTGCTCCTCGTAGTTGATCGAACAAGTCATCAATCCTAGGCAAAGGATACCTATTCTTGATTGTGACCTTGTTCAGTTGACGATAGTCAATACACATTCAAAGTGTCCCATCTTTCTTTTTCACAAAAAGAACCGGTGCTCCCCATGGGGAGTGGCTTGGTCTAATGAAACCGTTATCCAAAAGCTCTTGCAATTGTGTTTTCAACTCGTTAAGTTCAGTGGGTGCCATACGGTATGGCGGTATGGAGATTGGTTTGGTGTCAGGCTCGACCTCGATCACAAATTCAATCTCTCTATCGGGAGGAAGTCTCAGCATGTCTTTTGGAAAGACATCCGGATACTTGCACACAACCTTCACATCATCGATGC